TTCATATTGTTCCTGGCATATACTGGCTGCTCAGTAAATCTTACTTCTCCTTCCTTCCTTCTTCATTGATTTTACAGACAGTTACTTACAAACTTTGGTTATTTCCTTGTGAATCAGCCCTGTGCCAAATGCACACTGAAGATATCCTCAGAAGATAAGACACAGGCTGCTCATCACCAAGGATTTACTAATTCCTGACTATAAATTTACTTCTATATCCTTTTCCATTGAGAAAATCCAGAAAACAATGCTTCCCTTTGAGGAACTTACAAACTAATCAGGAAGGTAAGAGTAACAGACAGAAATTATCAAACAGGGTAAAGCTATAGTTAATGAAATATCATGCTATATGGAATCAACTATAAATATATTAGGAATTCATAGGGAAAGAGAGCACCAAGAAGGGAGGATTTTCCTGCATGGCAGGAGGAGGGAAGGACTCCAGGGAAGAGAAAGGGCATAAGCCAAGTACAGAGGCAAGAGGGGGATGAAAGTGCCAAGAGCCTTGGGACAATCGGCCTAAAAGCAAAGGGGACACACCGGAGAGAGGTGGAAAGTGAAACACCAGACTCAAAAAGGAGCACAGATCTGATCATAGTGAATCATAATGCACACATGAAAACAAAGAAAAAGGAAAGGCCTATATTCAAGTGCAGCAGGGACACTGGAACATTTGCAAAAGAGAGAAGAGCCCTGGAGTTTTGTGGTGGCTTAGCATTAGGGGAGAGTCCACACTCGCCTTGTGATTGATAGTCATTCCAGCTGACTCACCACATTCCGGGGGCCGGTCCAGGTACATTCCACTGCAGTCTGATTGATGGCTTTGGCCTTGAGGCTAGGTGCAGGTGGGCGAACCCCTCTGGTCATGACATGCTCAAATGCCAGAGGGCTATCTCCCAAGTCAGTCTTGGCCCAGGCAGAAATCTCATAGGATGTATGAGCTGTCAGATTGCCAACTGTGAAAACAGGAAAAGGAGATTCCAGGAGGAAGTTTGGGGGTGTGAGTCAAGGATCTGTCTTGATATACGCATTCTTTCTTTTTTTTAATAGTAATCTCTTGATTTAAATGAGTCCCATGTGCTGTAGGACTGTCATTAGATGACAAATTCATTCAATGTTTATGTACTGATGATGACTCTATGTAACACACTGCACAGGCACTGGACAATTTTTTAAAAGCTGCCCATCCAGATATCAGTTGGTACAACGCTCCTGGAAGCCATCTGTCCTTGTATAACAAGACCCTTGAAAATCATACCCTTCAATCCAGTTATCCCATGAAGTCAGAGAAAGACTCAAAAGCGTGCAAGAATCCCCATCACAGTGTTACGGTAGGAAAAAACTGAATGTAATTTGATTGCCCAGTCACTGGATAATAAATAATGCGCATTCCATGAACTACTGTACAGGCAATAAAAGTAGTTTCAAAAATATTTAATGACACTGGAAAATTGTCACAATTTTATGTTAAGTGGAAAGGGCAGAAAACAATACTATATATGGCATTATTCTGATTTTAGAAAAAAGATATAAAGAGGTCAATTTATGGAAAATATATATAAGAAGATATCTGATGTGTGAACATGAAATTACAAGCAATTTTAATTTTCATTACACTCTTTTTGTTCTCTTAATTTTCTGAAACAAACATGTATCCACTTTCTAATCAGGGGAAATGCTATTAAAACTAAAAGCAAAGCGACAAGGGGGAGGCTATGCCTTTGGAATCGGAAGGACTGAAGTTTAAGGCCTGACTCTATATTTTGTGATTGTATAACCTGGGGTAAAGTATTTAAACTCTCTATTTCCTTGTTTGTAAGATGGAGAAAAAAATAACAGCACTTACAGCAGCTGCTGGCTTGCAGGGAGAAATAAAGAAAATGCCTATTAAGTGCTTGCCATAACGCCTAGCATTGCGCTAGCCCTAATAGATTTCAGACAACTGCTAGTTAAGACTTCTGCTCCTGGCTCTGCCAGTTCCAACTGGGGCAACACTGAGGCCATGAGACCATAGGCGCTGGAGTTAGAAAGATGTGGGTTCCAATCCTGTCTCTGCCACCATCTGAGTATGACTTATTCTTTTAACTTTAGTTTTGCTTCTGTAAAGTGGGCATACCTCACAGAATTATAATTGGGGTGATGTAAACAATATGCATAGGATGCCTGTGTAAATTCTTGCACACAGTAGGTGCTCAATGGGCAAGAGTAAAAATAACAGCCTCCTTGGGCACCTTGTAGATTTTCAGTTAAAAAAAAAAAAAAAAAGTAATAGGCCGGACGCAGTGGCTCACGCCTGTAATCCCAGCACTTTGGGAGGCTGAGGTGGGTGGATCACCTGAGGTCAGGAGTTCAAGACCAACATGACCAACATGGAGAAACCCCATCTCTACTAAAAATATAAAATTAGCCAGGTGTGGTGCCACATGCCTGTAATCCCAGCTACTCAGAAGGCTAAGGCAGGAGAATCGCTTGAACCTGGGAGGCGAGGGTTGCAGTGAGCCGAAATTGTGCCACTACACTGCAGCCTGGGCAGCAAGAGTGAAATGCTATCTCCAAAAAAAAAAAGCCATACTAGAACATTTGTAGTCTCTATTTTACAAGGCTATAACAAGGACTAAATAAAAACATGATTGAAGGTACTGCACAGTCTAGAAGACGAAGACAGGAAAAAGCTCCCATGCCATTCTCAACAGTTCCAGGCAGCTTTTGCCCCTTAGAAATAAATTAAAATCTGTCCTTTAGCACATGTTTAGATCTAGGACTTTACTGAGACTTACTGCTGGTACATACGTAACAGGGACTGGACCACTCCTCCCTTAGTTTTTTGTCCATTCCACCAGTCAACATATATTTACTGAATGCCAGTTATGCATAAGGCCTTCCACTCCCTCTCATGAGCAATGGAGGAGTGAACCAGACTAGGGAAGACAGACAGGGAACTGCATCTTAGAACTCATTCTTTTGGAAATCAAAACTCATCTGAGAGAGTTGGTTTTGCCTCTGTCCAATTTTCCTCCTTGTGGCCCCCAACTCCCATTAAAGGTCATGAGGTTAGAGGAGGGCTCAAGGGGCCACCGAGTGAATCCCTTTGCCTAGGGTCAGCAGCACACTTACAGGATCCTCAGTGGACAAGAACCTGTCAACGCAGAAAGGCCTCCAGAGAATACCTCCCCTTCCCTGGCACCCCCAATCAAGCTCTACAGCAGGAAAGTGTCGGTCCAGCCTTATTCCTTCCTGTTTACACACTGGCCAGCACCAAGGTGTTACCTTTGTGTGACAATATGCTTCCTCGGAAGTTCAAAGTTCTCCTCTCTTGCTTGTGGGTGTCAAACGCCCAGTAAAGGTTCACCACATAGCCATTCACCTGCCAAGAACCAAAAAGCACGTTAGATGAATAGCCAGTCATAGGACACACCAGATACAAAAGGCAGGATTAAAAATACACCCCCTGTTGTTTTCTTGTATCTCATTTCTTAAACAGGTTATTTTTAAAACTTTTTAAACAAGTTCTGTTAGTGCTGCCATTTGCTAACATTTAGTTATACTCCACCTGCTTCTACAAACAAACATGAGACCATTTATAATTTATAGATTCAATGAAACAAAAAAGGAAATGCAGAATAAAAGGACGAGAACCAATGAATAAAGGTAGAAAGAAGAAAAACAGGAAAGATAATTCGGCTATGGAAATTAAGGATAAATCCTTGCAGATACCAAGAGGCCAATCCATACAAAACAGGCCAGGTGGATCTCACTAACTACAGAAAATACATCCACATATCAGGAAAGACCACCTTTTCTAAGGCCTGAGCTCATAAAAGGATTTGATCTAAAGAACTTTAAATATGGGACAACAAACAAAAATATTTTCAAGATGAAAGACTATAAGACAAGAAAGACATATGGCCATTTCTTATATCAACGCATTCTGAAGCCAAGGGCATGACACTAAATGGTAGCTAAGTAAATGACACAGGACTCTGAGGGCTGTTTGTCCCACCACAGCTTCATCGATGCAGAGGATGTGAGGAGGGACAGGTAAGAAGCAACACTATGGAAAGTGGATCTCAGCCTGAGGAACCACAAGGGCACAGATAGCAATGGTGAAATCCGCTATGCAGATGGGCCAATAGAGGGGACAGTGGTGCTGGAAGAGGAAGATCTTAGGTGGATAGAAAGGTATTCAACTCTCCCACAAGAAGGTTATTCTTCCACCGTAAGCACCTCAGCATTAGCGCTTAGCACCAGGAAATCCAATAAAGCTGAAAATTACAGGGCATACATATTCTGTTAACACCAACTCTTTATTTGCACTGTAGCTGTGAACCATTTAATTATATGGTTAAGGAAAAAAACGCACCAGGCTGAGGCAGAATAATTACATGCGAAGACTCAAGTTGTTCTTTGTGGGAGAAGGAACCACCCTAGTTCTGGTATTTTAGCTCCGTTCGTTCCCCCCACCCCCTCAGTCTTACTGTGCTATGTCCTTTCAGTTCCCATACAAAATAAAGCCCCATCCAGCTGCTGGTTTAAAATCCCCACATTACCTTGATATCACTCTCCACGGTCAGGGTGAAGCTTAGATAATTTTCACCATAGCTGTCAATGTGGATATCTGGTGGTGGGATCACTGAAAACAAATAGGAATTCAAAAACAGAAACCAAGTGATGAAAATCAAGGAAGGCAGGACTTAACAGTTTTCAACTCGACAGACAAAGCCATCATTCAGCTGGGGAAGAAAGGGTATTTCTTTGGCGGTGTTCCTCATCTATCTCTTTCACCACTGTTTTCCTGAAGCTAAGGTTGGTCCACAGTTGCTTGGTGAACACAAAAGTATCTGGCTCAGTCAGCTATCCTGGCAATTAGGTCAGGCAGAAAAGTTCCATTTTGTAAAGGTCCCAAAACAACCCAGCTTCAGCCTCTTCTTAAAGGCACAGGGATGATTCACCACAAATGGCATCTTTTTTTTATGTATATATATTTTATTGCACTTTAGGTTCTGGGGTACGTGTGCAGAACATGCAAGACTGTTGCATAGGTACATACATGGCAATGTGGTTTGCTGCCTCGATCCCCCCATCACCTATATCTGGCATTTCTCCCCACGTTCTCCCTCCCCAACCTCCCTACCCCTTGCTGTCCCTCCCCTATTCCCCACCAACAGACCCCAGTGTGTGATGCTCCCCTCCCTGTGTCCATGTGTTCTCATTGTTCAACACTCACTTATGAGTGAGAACATGCAGTGTTTGTTTTTCTGTTCTTGTGTCAGTTTGCTGAGAATGATGGTTTCCAGCTTCATCCATGTCCCTACAAAGGACATGAACTCATCCTTTTTTATGGCTGCATAGTATTCTATGGTGTGCATATGCTACATTTTGTTTATCCAGTCTATCATTGATGGGCATTTGGGTTGGTTCCAAGTCTTTGCTATTGTAAACAGTGCTGCAATGAACATACGTATGCATTTGTTTTTTATAACAGAATGATTTATAATCCTTTGGGTATATACCCAGCAATGGGATTGCTGGGTCAAATGGAATTTCTAGTTCTAGATCCTTGAGGAATCGCCACACTGTCTTCCACAATGGTTGAAGTAAGTTACACTCCCACCAACAGTGTAAAAGTGATCCTGTTTCTCCACATCCTCTCCAGCATCTGTTGTCTCCAGATTTTTTAATGGTCACCATTCTAACTGTCATGAGATGGTATCTTGATTGGCACTAACAAAGTCCCATCAATCTCAAGTCCTTTTGGAAGGCTGACAACAAGATAAATCATACACTGTAAACATGAGTGTGGCAAATGGAAAGAATGTGGCCTCTGGAATCTGGCAGACTTGAGTTCTAATTCCTGTTCTGGTTGCTGTGGAACCTGGGCAAGTTATTTATCTTCCTGAGATTTACCTGCATTTCACAGAGCTGGGAAGGTTAACTAAAATAATGTATGTATGGTGCCTAGCACTCAACTGATACTCTTTCTCTCCCTTTCCAATACAGCCTCACATATGGCTGACTAAACAACTAGAAACCAAGGTGCTCTCAAAAAGATGGGAGCTCAAGCTGAGAGCTGAGGGGACAAGGAGGAAGTGGCCAAGGAAATGACCCTTCTCATTTCCACCCATGAGTGCTATGCTTGTCATCTGGAAGTCTGACCACCAGAAACCTGACAGTGCTTAGCCCAGCATGATCTAAAAGAGCTCAACAGATCAACATTATCAGAAGGTATTATTTAAATGACAACTTGCCTATTAGACTCTCTGCACATATGGCCCTTCTATAGACTGGGCAAGAGAGATTCAAAGGAGGAGATAAGATTTGGTGGCAAAAGAGATGTCAAAGTCTGAAGAGGTCTGTCCAGATGATCAATCACATAATAAAACTAGGCTTCAGGAAAATGCAATAATGGGAAGAAGAAAAAATACTGGAAGCTTCAGGCGGCCAACCAGAGTAAAACAGTGCAGGTGTCGCATACGGTAAAGCTGACTTGAATTATAATTATGGCAACCATGGACAAGTCACAATCCACTCCAAACCCGTTTCCTTAGCTATACAATGAGGATAAGGATACTTATCTCACAGGATTCATAAGGATTAATAAGAGATCAATTCATGAGCAACAAGAGCACGGTGCTTAGGGTTATAAGAAGTGCTCAGGGAATGGTGGCTTTTCTCATTGTCATCACTAACCCACTACATTCACCAATTACCCTGACGCATCCGCTGATGCCGCTGCTGTCTTTGTCCTTCATCTTCTGCTTTATTACAATACCAGGTTACAGATATTCCACAACAAATACTTTTTGGATGCAGCATACAGCTGCACTCTGTACAAATCCTCGCCTAAATATATGCAAGGAGCTGAGATTCATCAAAATCACAGAAAAGAAGTTAGAGAGAAGCAACCACCTACGGAGATTTTCAAATGCAATTGTGACTTGTGCCTTTGGAATTCAAGGTACATGTTTTTTGTTGATATTCCAACATCCCTTCTTCTTGGTATGTGTGGTCAGTGTTTTTAAACAGATTTGGTAGAGAGAAGTGATAAAACAATAAAAACTCTAAGAGAGTGTGAATTCAGCAGGCTTTCTCTAATTCCTGCTAGCATTCAGCTCCAAGACCGTCTGGTGGCACTACGTTTGGCTGCCTTGGGCCCTGATCTCAAAGGCTCCAGATTTTAGGGAGGGCCAGATAGTGACTCTCCATGACCCAGAGCCTATTCCTCACAGGTTCAGGTTAAAGTAAAATCTCCCAATCACGTTGCATGCCACAGTGTCCATCTGGTTTTAATACCTGGAATTCCAGAAATGCAAGTCGCCTGTGCTAAGGCTAAGGTCAGGAAAACCGCTCTGTAAGATGAGTTGTGGTCCATCTCCCAAAGTGTGCCAGAGCCCTTCATTTAATGGCTTTGATTCACTCCCTCATCAATTATTTCCTTAGTCTCTACTAGATGCCCGTGATAGAGGAAAGAAAAACAGATCAGATCTCTGCCCTCATGAGGCACTCGTGCAACATGCCGAGCCCGCCACCCCCGGCAAGCAGGGTTGTCTAGTAGGCCGCATGTGTCTCAGCCCAGAGAGAAGCGTGGAGCACAGTGGTTAAGAGCACAGGCTTTGGAGTCAGGCAGATCAGGTTCCAGGGCCAACTCTGTCACTTACTGATCGTGTGGCCTGGGGCAAGTGACATAACCTCATTCCAGTCCCTTATCTCTTCTTGTAGTTGTTCTGAGGGTTCAGTTAGATGAGCTGATGTATGCAAAGCAGTGAACACTCTGGAATGCCCTGCCCTTGGCAAGCTGTCAGTTATTACTAATATCAGCGCTAGTACATGATAAAAAAAACCCACCTACACATAGTTTGCCAGTGCTACGGGTAGAATAACAAGAGTCAGCATGGTGCTTTCTTTAAAGCATCATAAATGAACATGCACAAAATCATCTTCCACTTTGGCAAGAAGGAAGGACTCCTTCTATTTTAGATATTGTGACTACCCACAAAGGGCTGGGCCCGATGGCCTTTGGAAATCCCTTTGTATGTCTGCTTTAGAAGAAATGTTCAATTCTAGGAGGAAAAACACACTCAGTCACCCCAAAAAGACTTTGTATCTAAAGCACTGCAGAGGCACCCAGAAGTGTGTGTGTGTTAGGGAGAAGGAAGTGTGTGACGTTTTCTAAACTACGCTTCTCTATTTTCCAGTCATATTGAAAGTCATTTTGAAAGCGTTTCTATAATATCTCCTCTAAATCTGCAAATGCTGGAATCATTTACCTTTTCCTTTTATGGTGGTAATGCTTTTAGAATCGCTCCAGTTTCCTATTCCACGACTAGTCACCGCAGCCACCTTTTCAAATCAGAGGGTGAATTAGTATGAAATAAAGGCAATACACCATACAGCAAGAATACTGAATGAGCTAAAGGGGTGAGATTTTGGCAGTGAGGGTGGAAAAATTATATACAGAGTGATCCAGAATATTCAGAGGCCCTAGCATCTGAAACAAGAGGGCAAAAAAGCAAAGAGAAGGTGCTTGGGTAAAAGGCATTATGACAGTCCTAAGATCAAAAAATTTCTATTGATCGCCAAGTATCAAGGTTCTTCTAAAGGGCAGGTGTATGGGGGCGGTGTTCACAAATACACATGTATATAAAAAGGGTACTGACAAAATTATCAGTGTAAGAGTCATGAATGTGTACACTTACTGGTCTCAGCAAACATGTTTTGCACAAAATCTATCTCTTTCTGCTAAAATATATTTCATAAGAATCTCACAAAAATCAGTTTAGAAAGACCACTTATCATAGCTCTGCAACATACTCCAGCTAAAGATAAGCAGAAAAGAGCAGAGTGAGAAAGTATAGGAGCTGGAAAGCTAGCAGAATATCGGTATTAAAAGCAGGGAAAGCTGCATTCCCATAAAGCTCAGTTATCTGCAGAAAGTCTGACATCAAGCTCTATGTGGTATCCGTTTGAAACTCTGAGCTCCCCCATCCCAGGGGAAGAAGTTGGGTATTTTGCACATTACTAATATGCATCTCATAAAGGTGAGTAGAGAGTTCCCACAAAATAACAGCAATCTTGCTCAGTTCTAAGACTGCCTGGATGGTGACACTCACTCTGACAGTGTATAGGGTGTTGACCATTAAGTTCGTGATTTCTGTAAAGTTGCTAGCAGCCCTCTGGGAGGCCCACATCTTGGAACCACTCCTGCTGTACTCTACCTGAAGTGAGAAGAAAAAAAATGTGAGTAACGGGAACCAAAGGTCCAGGGCATCCTAATATCTTGCAAGGAGACTGGAGGAGAGAAAAGAAGGTGAGGAGCAAAATGTTCTGACGGATGATGGGTCATCACACCTACAAAGCTATACCAAATCAACCCCAAGTCACACAGAACACCCAGAAACCTCCTGGACCCCCTACACACATACGGCCAACTCCTGGAAGATACTTACAATGTACTCACGGATGAGGCCATGGGTGTGGATGGGAGGAGCCCAGTGGCCTACAATTGCACCTTCTGCTTCCCTGGGGAGTGACAGCTGGAGATTCCGAGGGGCATCAGGCACTGGCAAAAGAGTCAACTTGAGGTTAAAACCCATCTGCTTGGTGGTCAACCTGAGGAATTTTCCTGGGCTTAGAGTAAGGACAAGAAAGACCCCACAGCCAGCATTGAGACCTATTCACTAGAAAGGCTGCTAGCTTGGTCCTCACATGGACAAGACACTTTTCCTTTTCTTCTGGAAAGCAAAGTGTGCCATCTACACATCACATCATGGCTCAGTTGAGTGTGTAGTAAATTTGTGGCTCGTAAGGGCTGCAGCATAGAGTCACTTGGGTAGGCTGAGTCACCTCTGACCCTGAGACTTCCATACTGAGATCTTAATTGTCAATGACAGCACCTGCTGCCTCTGCTTCTTATACAACAGAAACAGAGTACTGTGGGCATGACTGCCAAAAAATAAGACTAATTTTGTAACATCACAGAATTTCTATATCCAAATGAATGTGATCATCTTCAAAGCAGGCTCCTTAATGAGTTTAGTGCTAGCATATTTGAGATACTTTAGGCAATGGAAAGAGATGGCATTCAAGCAGACAGTTGCTCATGTCAATGACTTTGAAGCAGGGAGGAAGCAAGGAACTCTTTTAGACACATACATTTGGTAAATTTCTTAAAAACTTAGCCACAAAGCCAGGCGCAGTGGTTCACACCTGTAATCCCAACATTTTGGGAGGCTGAAGTGGGTGGATTGCTTTAGCTTAGTAGTTCAAGACCAGCCTGCGTAACATGGCAAAACCGCGTCTCTACAAAAATACAAAAGGTTAGGGGAGCATGGTGGCACACACCTATAGTGCCAGCTGTGCAAGAAGCTGAGGCGGGAGGACCACCTGAGCCTGGAGAGACTGAGGTGCTGAGCAGTGATTGCACCTGCACTGCACTCCAGTCTGGGTGTCAGAGTGAGACCCTGTCTCAAAAAAAAAAAAAACTTAGTCACAAAATTGCTGATATGCCTCATATTTTAATGACAACAACTTCCTAACTACCAAGTACTAAGAAATATCTAGAAAAGGAAGGTAGAGGTAGAAACTAGACAAAAAAAAAAAATGCAAGGACAATGGTGGAGAGAATCTTAAATTAACTTAAGGTACAAAAAAAAGTCTCTGATGCAGTAAGGAGAATAGATATTCAACAACTCTGGCAAGACTCTAAAGCTTAGCCACAATACTTCCGTACATGTGAGGCACACATATGTTCCCACATTCCTGAGAATACTCAGAAAGACGTTCATAAAACCCCACCTGAGGTCTTACACACGCCATAAAAATAAACTGTAACACTTACATCCCTCCGGGGTCCTCAGGGTCACAAAGTCATTGGTGTTGTGTGCCTTGCTGAGACACTGAACCTGTACTTTAACCTGATACGTGGTATCTGGTTTCAAGACTTTTAATACAGTGTTTGTCTTATTGCTATGGGTCTCCAGAGTCTTCCATATGCTCTCTCCAACCACCCTGGCCAAAAAAAACATAAAGATGTTGCCACACTGGAGCAGCACGGGGGGCTGAGATGTCTGACTCAGTTAATGAAGAGTCACACAGTGCATGCCACTAGAGAGTTTATAGAACATCCTGGGGCAACGAGGACATCATTTTCATCTCCCGTGGCAGGACCCACCTGTAGTAGACATTATATACACAAGAAGCAGAGGGCATTTTTTTGGGCCGCATCCAGGTCAATGTCACATCCCCAGAGAAGTCAGCTGTCCACTGAAGATTCTGTACTTTGTACACAGTTAACTCATCTAGAGAGATAAAGGAGAAAAACTCAAAAAAAGTTATATCTTGGCTGGGTGTGGTAGCTCATGCCTGCAATCCTAGCACTTTGGGAGGCTGAGATAGGTGAATTGCCTGAGCTTAGGAGTTCCAGACCAGCCTGGGCAACATGGCTAAACCCCATCTCTACTAAAAATATTAAAAAAAAAAAAAAGTTATATCTTACTAATCCTTAGACTTCAAAGGACCCCTGCTTTTAAAAACTAATGATGTATATTATCAAGAGGCCATTATCATTATCTGAAAAGAAATCTCAGAAAATGTAGTTGAAACCTCCCTACACAATCCCTTCTAGGGTCTCCTACATTACTGGTCATGATATTTTCCCTTGAATTTCATCTTCCTCCTGCCTATGGCAATTTAAGCCTATTTCTTAATAGAGAACACCACGAGTCCAAGGACCATGTCATGGCAGTGTCCATTACTAAACCCTCCAGAGATAAGAACTGAGTTAATCCCACCAGCAGATTGAGACTGTGAGAACCGTGGTGTATGGGCATGAGGTAGGAAGACCACCAAAAACAAATCCAAGACCAGCATTTCACTAACAGAGAGGAGAGAGCTGCATGTTATATCAGAGTCTAGCCAACCCTCACCTCACTTGGGGCTCCCAAACTAGGCACAAATCTGTTTCATCCTCAGATTGAGAAAAGTTTAAAACAGTCCTAGCTCAAGATCTACATGGGAGGGACCCTGGGGTAAGCGAGCCGCCCTGCCCCGCCCAGCCCCGCCCAGCCCGACCCAGCCC